ACATGCACTTTACTGCATTCTTATTTTCCTTTAAAAAAGATGAAGATAGCCAGCTGAGCAAATATTTTATCTAAGGAAATACACATCTTAAGTGTTACTGAAATTCAACTGAATAGTCTTAAAGGAACAATTTATATTCCCAGTCTAAGAAACTGTCCATTTTTGACAATGGCGTATCATTCACAGCCAACTCCAAACCTCAAAATCACCACTTAAAGATTCTTTTTCTTCTATGCCCTTCTTTGTGCAGGCTCTTCGTATATGTGCAAACTATGGACCACTTGATGTTTTTACTTTCAGAGATAGATAGGGTCTCTATTGCCTGGGCTAGAGCATAGTGGTACAATCATAGCTCACTGCAACGTCAAACTCCTGGGGGCTTAAGAGATCTCCTCCCTAGTAGCTGGGACTATAGGCACATGCTACCACACAAATCTAATTTTTGCAGATTAAGGGGTCTTGCTATGTTGCACAAGCTAATCTCAAATTCCTGGCTTCAAGCTATTCTTCCTGCTCATGCCTCCTAAAGTGCTAGGATTATAGGCATGAACCACCGCGCCCAATCTTGGCATTTTTAAGAACATTACTTTCATCATTTACGAAAGTAATTCAAACTCAATTCATGAATTCTGGATAAACTTTGTTAATGTTCCTGACTATTTGAATCCTACCCTTTCCACTTGCCATTCTCTTAAGATTTTACTCAAACTATATTTTGGTAAAGACTTCTCTGACTTCTCAGGTTACAGTCTCTCAAATTATTTTTATCATTCTTTGATACTTCAAAACCACCCTTAAATTAAAAGATGCCTGTTTCTCCATCTTCTTTTTAGATCCTCTTTGATTTTTCACTTCTGCATAGCAGCCAGCATGGTTGGTCAAACATAATAGCTTTTAAGTGTTCATTAAGTACACAAAGGTTTAAAATGGGGAAAGGGAGGATAAAACTCTAACCAGGTTGAGAATCGTTTTATCTCATTCCCTGACTACATTAAGTTACTTGCCCATTGGGTCAGCCTATTATTCCAACTATTATATCTCTAACTTTGATTATCAAATTGTGGATATCTTGAATTGTCAAGAATGAACTAAATGTGGTTACAAAACTTAGTTAATGTATTTGATTGTCAGTATT